TCACATATCTGCAGGTCTGCCTGGATATTATCTCTCCAGCATATAATCATCATAATAATATTTCAATGTGTGTCATTCTTGTGCAGCAGGGCAGTGTTATGAGCTAAAACTAGTTTTCTGATATCCTCCAAAACAAACAAAACCAAAACAGAAGGTAGGTGGGTAGGAAGTTGTACCCCACCAGGACACCACACAAGTGATAAACACCGGGTGACACAAAATGCCACCATGCAGATGAGGATCACCTGTGGAGTGGTCCCAGAAACCGCTTTCAGCCGTTAGGCAATATCTATGCCCCGGTCTATATTCAGGGCTCCTGGCAGAAGCCATTGTGGGGCTTCAAATAAAAAAATTGCATCCCAAATTGGGAATCTTTCCTCATATATATCAAAACAAAACAAAAACTCAACGTAAAGTTCAGGTGCTGCAGTAACAGAGTGGGTTCAAATCTTCATTTTGGAAGCTTTTTTTTCTTTAAAACTGACTTTGGCTCTCAGGTAGACCCTGCCCAACCAAAATGGGTACAAATAATGCAGTTTGTTATTCAAACCCATTTTGGTCTCCAGGCAGGGATACTGCTGACCTGCAGGAATAGTGTAGACAAATAGTAATAATATATGGATCTAATTAACTTAAGTGACTAATATCCAGGTGTCATGAATATATATATACATATCACTTACATATTGTACCTATGGCAGACCACTTATAAATGAGTTAACAGCAAACATTTTAAGCTTTTGTTTCTCGTCTGTGATGGATGAGAGGCACTGACTTTTACTCAGTCACTGAAGAAAAAAAATTTTTAGTACTTTTGAATTGTCAGAGGAAAATCCATAGAATACTATGGACCAAGAAGAAAAAACAGCAATATGATCTAAACATCAAGGAGAGCTGTCCTGAAAGCTTTTGGCCATATTAAACATTGGGTTTGGTGACCTAGGGAAAACAAAAAAAAACTGGTGATGGTGGATAGTTTCCTCAAAAATGATGTAGACGTCGACCTTCACAAATGTGGACACAGAACATGCACAGGAAAGATGATAAAGGCTGGAAAACTAGCTAAAAATCTGAATCATTTAAAATGTGCCGTGATAAGAGCTAGGATCTGTGAAGAACTGGCTGATTTATGATAAATCGCATAGAAAAGTTTGGTGTGGTTGAGAAGAAGACACAACAAAACTGTAATTTAAATAAAAATGAGGTTAGAAGTAAGTTACCGCCCATACATTTAACAGAAAATGAGTCTATGTCATTGAACAAATAACAGAAAGTGAGTCTATGTCATCAAACAAATAACAGAAAGTGAGTCTATGTCATCAACAAATAACAGAAAGTGAGTCTATGTCATCAAACAAATAACAGAAAGTGAGTCTATGTCATCAACAAATAACAGAAAGTGAGTCTATGTCATCAAACAAATAACAGAAAGTGAGTCTATGTCATCAAACAAATAACAGAAAGTGAGTCTATGTCATCAAACAAATAACTGAGTGGTTGAGTGCATGGCACGACACTGTGAGCTTTGAATTTAATTTGGAGTGCCTTTTGACTGTGCAAAACATGGTTTATGTTGTGAACTGCACATTCAAAAAATGGAGAGCGACCTGATGCTAGAGAACTGGTGGTGTCTTCTGCATTTACCTGCATGTGCGACTACGGATCTATTGTTGTAACTGCTGCTTCCATAGACGATAAACTGCATTCCTAGTTAATTCTAATAATACACATTTATAGTGTTTGTATGCTACTGGGAGTCACCCGTTAGCTATAAATGTGGAACTACAATTACCACATTTGTCGGTAAATAAGATGTACTTTTTTGTTTTCAAAATAGGCTGCATCTTTTACATAAATGTAGGCCTACACATACTGTTGTTTTATAGTTGTAAGTCAAATGAAAAAATATTGTGAGAGGCATTTCTTTATCGAGAATTTTAAACTCCAGGTGATAAAATATGCTGAAATGCTGAAGAGCTCAGAAGAACGTCATTTAAAACCTACAAGGATTGGGGGGGGGGGGGGGGGGGGGGGGGGGGAACCATAAGGCTTTGATAGTCTCAGGTGGATGTTTTGCACAACATTAACAAAGGAAAGCGTGAACAATGTGGAAAATGTTCACAATGGCTGGAATCAGAGACTTGTGGATTTCAATGGGTGCAAGAATTAAATATGATTCTTATTCTGGACATTTTTTTTGGTCAGTTTACAAGAGTGCATTTTATACAAGGGAGACCATCTTATTCTTCTTCTGCCTTTCTAGCCCCCAATGGAGCATAGGCCCTCAACCAACTCAGGCCAAGTTGTTCTATTCTTTGCTATCACATGCAGATCTTGCCATCTTTTTAACTTCACTCTCTAGCTCCTTTCTCCATGTGTCTTTGGTATTCCTTTATTGCCATACCCCTGTGGGTTCCAGTGTAAAGACATTCTAGTTATATTGTCCTCAGGTTTTCTCAGTGTGTGTCCTATCCAATGCTAGCATCTTTTCCTCACCTCTTGTTCCACTGGAGCCTGTTTAGTTCTCTCCCAAAGCTCTACATTAGTGATTCTATCATACCATTCAATTCCCTCTATTCTGCGCAGGCACCACTTATGAATGTATGTAGTTTATTAGTAATTGCCTTAGTTGTTCTCCATGTTTCTGCCCCATACAAAAGTACTGATTTGACATTAGAATTAAATTTTTTGTTTAGTATTAGTTTAAATTTCTTTTGACCTCCACAAATTCCTTAGAGCTATGACAGCTCCTCTTGCCTTTTATCTTTGTATTTTAATATCTCTATCGGTTCCCCATCTTTATCTACATTACTGCCAAAATAGGTCTTATACGCCAACAAATATTGTACCTCACCTACCATTTCTGTATGGTATATCCCTGTATTAACTTGACTGCAGTCACCACCCATATTTTCACAATATCTGTATAGTAGCGAGCGTCCAATTAACTTCTAGAAACAGTCGCAGTATAGGGATTACTGTGCTTGTTTTACTGCGACAAGTGTTGTGGGTTCGGTTCTCAATACTGACATCAATGTATACATGAAAGACAATTACAACATTAAAATAAGCATTCACCTTTTATTTCATAAAAATAATGGCAAGCCATTTCATAACAAATCTGCCCAAAGACCACACTACTGTATGCATAAAAACACAAGATTCATACTAAGTGTTGAATTTTCAAATGACGAAATTACCACACTGTCTCATCATTCGTACTCAGTTCAATCTCAGCAGAATTTCAGCATTCAACTCACTCATACTGTTAGTAGAAAGACGGTCCAAGTGACATGAAGGGACAAAATTCGCAATCAGACAATACATCAAGATTTTGAAACCCAGGCCTTACAAACTCGAGTAGATCAGTCACAGCTATGATGGCTTGGACATGTATGCAGAATGGGAGAAAATTGGTCACCACTGCAGGCACGGGAGGCTGACTAAGAATCAGGGAACTAGATCTCCATGGTGACCCAGGGTCTGCTGGGAAGACAACATCTGACTGAGAAAGAACCGGAATGAACAATGCCAGAAAGAAAACTGCTGACAGTCTCCCTGAAAACCTCTACATTCCAAAGTATAAGATGAGAGACTAAGTAAGTATTGTAAATATGAAGAATTGCCATTCTATTGGTCTCATTTACATATTCCAAAAAATACTGTAAAAAGGTAAAGGTAAAGTAGGGAGATGTGAACCAGCGTCACTGTACAATGTTATAAACCAAAAGTGCTCTGTCACCAGTACAGACAGCTGATAAGAAACTGTCCGCCTGTGTCGCCGTCCGCACGCAACTCCGTAGCTACAGCGACGTTCCTTCATTTACCCTAGAGTGTTAACTCTGGTACCCATTACCTAGAGGCTGGATGAACCCTGGGGAATCACCCGGTTTCGAACACCGGCCATGGGCTGCAGCGAGTCGCAGCTGGATTTTAAGGCGAGCCTCCTATCGACTGCGCTATCATGGCCCCAAAAAAATGCTGCTTGGTGGTTAAACATGTAGTCTAGGGCTCAAAGGTTTATAAAAGCGTTTAACAATATCACCATCCTGAAGTACTATGGTTGAATGTCTGTTCACATTGGTTCATACTGTAGTATGAGAGTTGCATCAAAGAAGAGATTGGGATCTGACCATGTAATATACACAAAGATAATAAGTGCGCTGTAGCCAAACCGTCTTTGTTGAATTAAAAAAAAAAAAAAAGAAATAACCAATTTAGCCATATATATATATATATATATATATATATATATATATATATATATATATATATAAAACACCTATGATTCAGTCATTATTGTCTCCCTTGTACATAAGCCTTGCATTTCTTGCACTCACAGAGTAACTAAAACAAGTGTGTTGCCTGTTTCCCAAGTTTTATCACAACAGTTAATCCTGGAGCTGTGAAGGTCATGAGTTGCTTTCACGCACTGTGATGTTTGTTCGTTCATTTCATTAGTGACATTTTTACACAAATACTGGCTACTTCTTTTGGCCTTTATCCCCTAACTCAATGAAGCATATGCCCTCAGACAACTCACATCAAGATGTCCTTTTTTTGTGTGTGTTGATTTGGAAGACAGCTCACCCCTTACGCTCCACAATTTTTAACCTCTTTCACTCGTTCCCTTCTTCTTGTGATTTTTAGTCTCTGTTTATTCCTCTCATTCTGTGGGTTCCAATGCAAAAACATTCTAGTTACACCTTTTTTCTTTTTTTTTTCAATGTGTCTTATCCTATGCCAGTGTCCTTTCCTCGCCTCACCTTTTGATAAACTGGTTTTTGTTTACCTCTGTTTCAAAGCTCAATTATTACAAGAGCTAGAAAATTTGTGCAGAGTACAACACTCTCAGCTGGCAACTAGCCTTTCTGCTCAGAGAGACTAAGCCCCGTGGGATAAAAGCTGGTGCAATGAAGCAGACCCTCTTTTCTTAACAGCTTTTACACTTTACAACATAATATACAAGAAAGACATCAACAGTTCATCACAAAACACCATTAGGAGTCCAAGACATCTGCATTGTCATCAACATGACAATCAGCTTCAGAAATTTCCTCAACAACATCCTCATCCTCATCACAATCATCAACCTCATACTCATCATCATCAAAGGAAGTCACATCCCCATGTGAACTCAGCATGGCTTTGATGGCTCTAGCCCTCATCTCCAGCTCTAGAAGCTCCATCTGGTCCATCATGATGGAGGGCAGCACCCCTTCATCTGAGCCAGCCTGCATGGAGGCCATAAGGTCTCCTTCAATATCCTCCACGTTACCCATCTCTGCATCTTCGTCCTGCTCTTCCATGTGGTCTTCTCCTTCGCTTATGGGCTCCTGCTTCACATGTGCCTCTGTGTAGTCTTCACTCTGAGGAGAAACAAAGAAAGAACAACATCAGCGGAGAAACTCTACTTCATCCATGAAATGATAAAAAAAAACAGAAAGACATCATCATCGTATAGCAAGTCCTTTGCAATAAGTCACTCTCATCATGATCTGCCTGAAAGAAACTCAGTCTCTCGCCAGCTTTCCAGCCTTGTACACTCTCCTACCCAAGGTGTAACTTATATGCTGTGCCCCATCTTGATACTGGTCAGTCCCTAACCCTTTTTCTGATGCCTCCTGCTATTATTAATTTCCAATCTTACATGGTGCATGATATGGCCAACAAATTTCAGTTTCAGAGACAAGATGCTGTTTATTAGCCAATCTTCCCCTAATGTTGAGATTATTCAGGATGTCAGTATTTCTGTTCTTCTTTGTCCATGGTAAGCTGAGAAACTGTCTATAGCATTTCAGCTCAAAAGCCACAACTTCCTTCTTATGGATAAACTTTAAACTCAGAGAAGAAAATAATGGTGTAGTTATGATGCAGTCACTTTTCCAGTTAACGTAACACAGCATGCTGTTGGGTCATCATTTTATGTTGACCGATCAATTCTCTCCACCGCTGTCAGTCAGATGCAAAGGACTTGATGTTTTTGATGTCTTCCTGTTTGAGGCCTGGCCATTAAGCCAAATTCTGGTGTGATATCTCTCTTGTAACAATAATTATAACAGAATTAACAGCAGAAGTAGCAGAAGCTTTCTTTGACCCGTGTGAATAGACAGACCATGTCATGTAACCAGATCAACCCTTCAAGGACCGCCTCGCTAACGTCTAACTAAATACATAAATGAATACTATTATAAATACCCATAATAACCTACCTCTTGTTAACACAGACTAACATATGAATCATTCTACCATCAGGCTAACACACTAACACAAAGCTGCCTGTCGCTAATATTAAAAACATAGAAACATCTAACAGTCAAAACAACAACGTCCTGTCCCCAAGTCTTTCTCCCGGCCACTCCCGATCAACTCTTGCACCGCTCAATACTAAACAAACCTCTCCGGAAAAAAGTTGCTTTGTCGCTTTTGTTCAGTCACAAGTTCACTATTTATCATCATCGTATGCAATCATCCCATAGCCACACAGGACCCTGACCACCTGCCACATATGTTCTTTGAGATGGGAATTTCATTTGACCTTTTACTTGGCATCCCAGGACAGAGCTGCAGTAGCAGACTGGTTAGATGCACGCCTGAAGGTCTTCGGTTAAAATCTGCATCCAGGCAAATTTCTTTTCACAACTGTCCGTGACTCCCAGCTCAGCCCAGCCTAAATGGGTATCAGGAATAATCCTGGGAGGTAAAGGAGGCTGGCATATCACCCTGATTGGTCTATAAAACTGCAGATCCATTACTGTATGGCTGATGAACCAAAGGCATAATCAAGTTCCTTTAGGTAACTTTACTGTCTGGTATCCTCGGTCGTCTCACCCTGAAATGGGTCCTGGGAAATTTCTTGGGAAATGAAGGCAACCAGTATGATGATAACCTGATCTAATTCCAAATAATGTAAAAATATGGCACTAGTATCTCATGAGTTACAAGGTGTTCGCTAGGTTTTTTAAATATTGTTTCTATATCATAACAAAAGGTGTTCTTTTACATTTTTGTTTATTATAACACAAAGTGTTCTTTTAAATATTTTTGTTTATCATAACACAAGGCTTTCTTTATGTTATTTTTTGCTTATCATAACAAAATATGTTATTTGTTATTTACATATTTTTTCATATCAAAAGGTGGGGTCTCTATATTTCTGTTTGGGTTATTTATCAGTCAAAGTATTCTTTACAATTGGCGGGAAAGGGGGGGGGGGGGGGGGGGGGGGGGAGCTTATATTGCAAAAGGTGGTGTTTTTCCTTTAGTTTGCTTACTATAACAAAAAAAAAAAATCTCTAAAATTTGTGCTTTAAAAGATTACCAAATGCACTTGCTCTATAACATGTCACGCTAAAATGCCTCTGTAACTGTCATGCAATAATGGCTCTGTAACATGTCACACTAAAATGGCTCTGTAACATGTCACACTAAAATGGCTCTGTAACATGTCACACTAAAATGGCTCTGTAACATGTCATGCAATAATGGCTCTGCAACATGTCGTTAAAATAGCTCTGTAACATGTCACACTAAAATGGCTCTGTAACATGTCATGCTAAAATGGCTCTGTAACATGTCATGCTAAAATGGCTCTGTAACATGTCATGCTAAAATGGCTCTGTAACTTGTCATGCTAAAATGGCTCTGTAACATGTCATGCTAAAATGGCTCTGTAACATGTCACACTAAAATGGCTCTGTAACATGTCATGCAATAATGGCTCTGCAACATGTCGTTAAAATAGCTCTGTAACATGTCACACTAAAATGGCTCTGTAACATGTCATGCTAAAATGGCTCTGTAACATGTCACGCTAAAATAGCTCTGTAACATGTCATGCTAAAATAGCTCTATAACATGTCACGCTAAAATAGCTCTATAACATGTCATGTTTAAATAGCTCTATAACATGTCACGCTAAAATAGCTCTATAACATGTCACGCTAAAATAGCTCTAAGACATGTCACGCTAAAATAGCTCTATAACATGTCACGCTAAAATAGCTCTATAACATGTCACACTAAAATAGCTCTATAACATGTCACGCTAAAATAGCTCTATAACATGTCACGCTAAAATAGCTCTATAACATGTCACGCTAAAATAGCTCTATAACATGTCATGCTAAAATAGTTCTATAACATGTCACGCTAAAATAGCTCTATAACATGTCATGTTAAAATAGCTCTATAACATGTCACGCTAAAATAGCTCTGTAACATGTCATGCTAAAATAGCTCTATAACATGTAATGCTAAAATGGCTCTGTAACATGTCATGCTAAAATGGCTCTGTAACATGTCATGTTAAAATAGCTCTATAACATGTCATGTTAAAATAGCTCTATAACATGTCACGCTAAAATAGCTCTGTAACATGTCATGCTAAAATAGCTCTATAACATGTAATGCTAAAATGGCTCTGTAACATGTCATGCTAAAATGGCTCTGTAACATGTCATGTTAAAATAGCTCTATAACATGTCATGCTAAAATAGCTCTATAACATGTCACACTAAAATGGCTCTGTAACTTGTCATGTTAAAATAGCTCTATAACATGTCACACTAAAATAGCTCTATAACATGTCATGCTAAAATAGCTCTATAACATGTCACACTAAAATAGCTCTATAACATGTCATGCTAAAATGGCTCTGTAACATGTCATGTTAAAATAGCTCTATAACATGTCACACTAAAATAGCTCTATAACATGTCATGCTAAAATAGCTCTATAACATGTCACGCTAAAATAGCTCTATAACATGTCACGCTAAAATGGTTATGTAACATGTCATGTTAAAATAGCTCTGTAACATGTCACGTAAAATGGCTCTGTAACTTGTCACACTAAAATGGCTCTGTAACATGTCATGTTAAAATAGCTCTGTAACATGTCACGCTAAAATGGTTATGCAACATGTCATACAAAAAAGGTTTTTTAGCATGTTACGTTAAAATGGCTCTGTAACTAACATATTACACTAAACTCATTATGAAACATATCAAGCCAAACTGACATTATAGTATGGCTCTGTAAATTAATTAAATCTACTGGTTTGATAACATGGCTATAAACTAGCGATAAAACAAGTCTCTATAAACAGCTACACAAGTGACTCTGTATAATGTTGTTCTATAACACAGTTCGTCGGCTCTGTGGCTAAGTTGATGCGAACGCTTTGTAATGCCCAGTTCGATCCTCGCTGTGGGCCATGCGCCTTGCGTTGGTTTTGAGTGGTTTCAAGAAAGCCGACCGTCCAGAAAGAAATAGCAAACTACTGGACGTAAATTTGCCGAGAAAAACCACACACCATCCAGGGGCTGTTGGGGTTGGTTCTGCAACGTCCTGTAAAGGATACGCAACTAACCATAACACAGTTCTAAATTGTACAGTAGTGACTCCATAACATATTTTGTTTAATTTGCCTATTGACAAAGTGCGTGTGCACACATATACTCATAATAACATGACACACACAGACCTGGTCCTCCCTTCTAACCAGCTCTCCATCTTCAGATCCGGATGTGTATGTCTCCGGTTGTTCTTCCTCAAGCTCTTCCTCATTCTCTCCTTCACCATAATCTCCGGAATCTGGCGGTTCTTGCTTGACTTCCATCAGATCTGCCCGTTCCTGGAGGGTCGTTCAATAAAACAGCAATTAAAAACAAGCATGGTTAAAAATCAGACGCATATGTGTGTGATTAGGGGCATGTGTGTGGGTATGTGATATGTGATGGTGTGTGCTATCGATCTATTTAAATAAAAATATAAATGTCCGTTTGTTAGTGATAGCTAATCTTCAAAAGTTCTTCGCTGACTGCTTTCAAATTTTGATACAATGGTGTGTTCTAATTGGCACGTGTCACAAAAAACACGAAACACATAGCTTTAAGAAGGATCATATAGGCATCTTGGCAGAAATCTGCATGTAACTGTCACTATGGGGATGATGAGTTGTTGAAAGATTGTATGGAAATGTATGTCATTGCTGCGACAAACCAGACTCTCTCTATATTTGTGCAGATGATTGTAGAATTACCCATATTAGACATGTGCTATTTCTATTTTCTTGCTTTTCCATTTAGCCAGACTGGGCACAGCAAGGCGTGGTCGGGTACAACTAGTTTGTGTATATAATGTGTGGGGATGTGATGTATGACAGATGTGTGTGTGTGATGTATGCTTATGAGTATTTGTCAGTGTATGCTTATAGCTGCAGTGTCAGGTGTGTTAGTGTGGGGGTGCTAGGTGTCTCTGTTAAAGATAATACAAAGCGGTGCAACAGCGAATTCAAAAAATAAACTTCATACCTATCTGATGGTATAGAAAACTACCCACCACAAGAGAATGAACAACGGTACCCTTTCGGTATAGCGAAAGATTATAACACAGTTAATTCCCTTACTCTGCAACTTGAGTGAGTTAAAAAGCAAGCCCTTTATAAGCTATAGGTGAATCAGCTAACTCCGTTAAAACACCAAGATATTTTATGTAATCTTAAAATATAGCTGTATCGCTGTTCTTGTTTATGTATCCTAATGAAGACTTTCTAGCAGTAACGGTCATTTCATTTTTCTGTGATAGTTGAGAGAACCTTAGAAAAATACAACTAGAATGTCATTACACTAGAACCCTCGCGGACACAGAAATAGAGTAAGTAAGTAAAGTAAAGGACCCTTTTCCACGCCTTAAAGCGTATAGGGCATACAGGGCTAGACCCATATTTTTATAGACCAATCGGCACAAGGTGGGTGATGTGGTCAGCATCACGCCGGCCGCCTTTACGTTCCCGGGACTGTACCCGGTACCCACTAAAGGCTGGGTCGACCTTGGAGCAAGGTCATTTTTGAAAAAAAGTCCGGCTCCGCCAGGGAGCGAACCCACGACCTTCCGATCCGCGACAAGCGTCTAGCCGCTCGGCCACGGCGACTCCCAGAAATATAGTAAGACCTCAAAAAATAGGGAAGGGAAGTTTAAACCAAAAGAAGAAAAAAAAAAAAAAGGGGGGGGGGGCAGGGGGTGAGCTGTCTGAAATAGCAAAGAACAGGAAGACTTGGTTGAGGGCCGGTGCTTTTTTTTCTAGTTACCCCAAATACGGGAAAACCAGCTGACGAGACAGTCGACTATTTCAAAGGGTGCAAATGCCAAAGAAGACGTGGCAACGCGCTCTGGAAATGGGAAAAGCCCTATCTTACCACCCTGGAAATTATTTGACTGCCCCGTGACGTCATTGGGGTAACTAAAAAAAATGCAGTACCTAAGGACCTACATTCTGGTTGGGGTGTACGGAGCAGAAGAAGAAGAAGAAGAAGACTAGTTGTACCTCTCATCTGTATTAACCGCTACACGCTGAACGACTGTGAAGCCAGGGCCAGTTATTTCAATGAGCAATCGATATGTTCTATTACAAGCGCTAATTTACAGCACAGCCCACATACATACCTGCTCCGTCCTTTCTTCGGTATTCCTGTAAGAAAAATAGAGTCAACGTGTTATTAAGTTGCACACCGAGATCTCAGGGACAGAGAACAGGACACAACACCCCAGCAAGTATATCATCACCTAGGTCCCCTAAGATACAAGGAGTATATTCTTCTTCTTCTTCTGCCTTTCTATCCCCCAATGGAGCATAGGCCCTCAACCAACTCACGCCAAGTCGTTCTATCCTTCGCCATTGCATGGAGCTCTCCCCATGTCCTCCCCATCTTTCTAACTTCATTCTCCAGCTCTCTTCTCCATGTGTTTTTTGGCCTTCCTTTCTTCCTATGCCCCTGTGGGTTCCAATGAAAAGACATTCTGGTTATGCTGTTCTACATGGAGTATATATTCACTGTATAATTAAAACAAATTAGGTGATAGTACACATCCTTGTCACTCTTCCCTCTTTATGCTCTGAAATGTTCCCAAATTGTTATTAATTCTTAATAGCTGCTGTTTGCCGCCAAAGCATGTTCTTTCTAACTGGTAAATCTTGTCCATCAATGTTCAACTTTTCTAACAGTTTGATTATTTATTCATATTTCACACAAACAAAAATAGCCCATAATTTTTACCGAAGCTATTCCCAGTAAGGCTAAAAGTGGTCAAATCTTACATTTGTGTTTTTAAGATAAAGAGAGAGAGAGAGAGAAAGAGAGAGAGAGAAAGAGAGAGAAAAAGAGAGAGACAGAGACAGAGCGACAGAGACAGACAGACAGACAGGGACAGAGAGAGAGAGAGAGAGAGAGAGAGAGAGAGAGAGAGACAGAGAGAGACAGAGAGAGAAAGAGGGGCGGGGGGAAGGAATGATCATTGTTCGCAAAGGGTTACACACTGGGCATGTAGACCATTGATACATTCTGCCTTCCCAACACTAACTAATTTAAACAGCAGTTGTATTATATTTATGAAACATATTATGTACACAGCATTGTGTGTGTGTGCGTGACAGAGAGAGAGAGAGAGAGAGAGAGAGAGAGAGAGAGAGAGAGAGAGAGAGAGAGAGAGAGAGTGAGAGAGAGAGAGAGAGAAATAGAGACGATGCGATGTATATACACTCCTTGGTACCACAGTTGTTAGTGCATTCTCATTTCTCCCCCCCCCCCCCCCCCCCCCACTCAATATTAACCCAGACTGTTTCAAATAAAACAAAAATTTATTAAAACATTAACATAATTGTTTGGGAAGAAGAAGAAGGAAGGAAGGAAGAGGATGAGGAAGAGGAGGACGGAGAGAAGAAGAAGGGGCAGAAAAAACAAATGCCAGGAAGTTGCATCTAGAAATATAACTTTACTCCGACAGCTAGAAACGGGACTTAACTCCGACTGCATTTTGGTCAGTAAATTACAGTTTTACACATAAACTCCATCGAAGTGTCATTCGTACCGATTGTATAGACTGTCTAGTCCAGCGGTTCTCAAACTGGGTGCAGTGGCACCCTGGGGTGAATGCCTTCTGATGCTATACTATACAAGACAGGAGAAGGACGTTGAGCAGAAGGTAGATCAAGAACAACATGGAAAGATAACATGAGAGAAACTCTACAGCACCACGATGTATCAGTGGCGAAGCAGCCAGAAGAGCATGAAGTAGGACCTTTTATCTCTCTCTACACATGAAGCGCTAAACGGGACGCAAAAAAGCAAACCTAAATTTCTACTGTTTTTATTTTCTTCTTTTCCTAAGTATTCAACCGCTTTAAGGATAGGTGTGCCGTGAATTTTTATTTTAGCTTGACAAGGGTACCGCGGCGAAAAAGTTCTGAGAACCTCTGGTCAAGTCTATTAACTGTTCTCCCGTAGCTGTTGGAAAAAGCTAACTGTATGAAGTTATGAAAATTTGATTCCTTTGTGTAAATTAGTATGTCAGACAAATGTCATATGCTCTGACTGTTTATTCAGCATGGTCAACATGACATTTTAACTGACAATTTTTCCTAGAGAAAGACATCTTCTTCTTCTCTTCCACCTTGTACCTCATCGAAGTGTCGGGGGGGGGGGGGGGGGGAGATGTAATGTACGTTGATGAGCTCTGTCAAGAGCACTATTATGACTGATGTTCATTTCTGGAAGGCTGTTCTTTAATGCCATCATTCCATATTTTCCGAGGTCTTCCACTGGCTCTATACCCGTTGTAACGTTTTAGTGTGGCTCTCTGTGGCCTATGGTATCTAAACCTAGTGAATATTTTTGTTTATTGTTTATTTCTGATTCTGTTCTCCGTGTGCGTTTGGTCTTTCTTCATTTCTGTCATTCTGGGGGTTCAAGTGAAGTAGGGCGACAGTTATATTTTGAGTTTAAAACGGGATATTCGAAGCAAGTCAGTTTAAACCTCAAGGGCCAGCCCCTTCATTTTTTAAGGCTACTGAGGTGAAAAGGTTCGCTTGACCATAGTATTATAGTCCGAACAAAAATGTAACCGCAGTGGAAGGAAGGGGTATGGTGGGGTGGGGGCGGCGCGGCTGCTATAATGACAATAAATAAGGTCTACAGACATAACTATAACTGTATGTTCTATTTATCAGCTAATTCCCAGATTGTTATAAAACTGACCAATTTACGTTTTTGTGGAGCTCAAGGGGACGACAAGGGCACATCTGAAACCAGGAACTGTCCCCGAGAGAACGGGAAGTAAGGTCACCGTAAGGTGAAAAGACCTTAAAGTTATAGATATTCATGTTCTCTCAGGTTGTGCCTTATCCAATACTAGGTGTTTTTTTTTCTGACCTCTTTATCGGCTCCAATCTATATGTTAAGCTATTTCCCCATTGATGATCCGGTTGTTATATTCACTAATTATATTAATGTAAAATAGTAAACTTATTTTTATAGACAGAGGAAGACGGCTATCTTACGAAACGACCCACCTGATACTGTCTTGATGAACGGATGTGGAGTCGGCGGGGTGACCTTCAACTTCAGCCTCGCTTTTGATTGTATGCTCAGCGAGATCGTCTGCTGAAACAAAAGGTCATACGTTAGAAAGTAATCACTAATAATATGTATACTCCCTGTGTGGGTTCAGGGACTTCAATTTGGAGGGGGGGGGGGAGGAGGGGTGAGAGGGGGTAGGAGGGGGGTTAGACCACAGGTCACAACTAACAAGCCTGACTCAGGGGCGACTAATTTGGGATTCGCTGAAATCGTATCTGTTGGGCCCAGATGGATTAGATACCGTTGCTTAGCTATAAACCACAACACAACAGCGACAACAGCATTTCTAAGGTAGAAGAGAAGGAGAAGAAGGAGGAGGAGGAAGATAAGGAGGAGGAGGAGAAGAAGAAGAAAAAGAAGAAGAAGAAGAAGAAGGAGAAGAAGAAGAAGAAGAAGAAGAAGAAGAAGAAGAAGAAGAAGAAGAAGAAGAAGAAGAAGAAGAAGAAGAAGAAGAAGAAGAAGAAGAAGAAGAAGAAGAAGAAGAAGAAGAAGAAGAAGAAGAACAAGAACAAGAAGAAGAACAAGAACAAGAAGACCGGTTATCCTCGTGTCTGTTCCAAAGACGAAAAAAAAAAGAACAGACGCACTGCCTCCCCACCAAGCATGTCGTAAGAGTCGACTAACTGGATGCTTCCTTCAAAGTCGGAGTGCATCTGCCTGAGATGCCAGAAACCAACAATCTGCAAACAAGTAAGTCAGATCTGTAAAACGAATGTGCACGCAACACTCAGGTTCTGGAACAAAACTAATGCCCAGAAGTGGACGAACAACCAGAACTTACAGCTGGCGAACGTGTAGAAGAAGAAGAACATGGGCTAGCGTGTTACCTAAGCCTACGGGAAGTAAATAACAGTAACACTGCAACGAACCATGCAAGTCGTAAGAGGTCACATACATACATAAACAGTCGACGTTTAGCTGATCATTGTCGAAGTACAGAGGTTCCTGCAAAGAGGCGCTGTCGTCATTTGGAGGTGACACGTTCGTTTTCTGGTATGGTAACCACAGCTTTTAATGTGTATGTTGTCTAGTGTGTCCTGTCTCTATTTATTTCCTGTGCATGTTCGAGTGTCAATTAATATATGCCAATTTGTCAACTATGTCGTAAGATGCGATTGGAGATAAAAAGACACAGAAAATATTTGACAAAATGTTATTGTAGCAGGAAAACAACACTTAAACTGATAATTCTGTAGAAGATCTAGCGATGTGGAGAAACATGATTGCCTACGTCAGCTGGCAAGGAACTCAACAGTCCTGATTCTTCTGCTGTTGTTAATGGCCACGACTGTCACCGAATGTGCACGTGTGTGAAATGAAACTAAATCACAAACCATAATTCTAGGCCAATCAAATGCCTTATTTGTGAGGTATGTGGCCGCCCTTCATTGGCTATGAATGACTCACGGTCATAGGTCAAGGCTGGCACTTTGTTGGAACCAAATACAAAGTCATTATGGTCAATTACATGACTGTTCACTTCAACTTTTGGGTTACGTCAGATTTGTTTATGTAAGGCTGAAGGCACGATAATATTAACATATATGATAATATTATTATATTTACCGAAGTAATCGTAATTACAAAGAATGTGGACCCTTTCAAATACATCAAAGTAAATTGGACAATCCTCAAGAAAGCTGACATATTTAAGTACTTGGGTACCCTGATAATAGCAGAAAAAGATTATAAGAGAGGCTAAATGTTGAATGGCTCAAGCTAAGGCAGCACTTCACACAATGAAGAAAATTATATGCAATCTTTCTTTGACAACAGAGGTTTGAAAGAGAATTCTCAAGAGCTTTATACATCCTGTAGTGATATCTGGAAGTGTATCATGGCGATTTGTGAAACATTATGCGGAAGCGGCAGAGATATGGGTTTCAAGCCGAATGATGAGAACAGACTGGGCAGAAAATAAAAAAAATACTCGTAACTATATATCGAAACGCTCTGTGGCTAAGTCGATGCGAACGCTTCGTAATGCCGGGATGCCTGGTTCGATCCCAACTGCGAGCCATGTGCCTTGCGTTGGTTTCGACAGTGGTATCAAGAGAGCCGACCGTAGCAATGGCAAACTACTGGACGTAAATGCCTTTAAAAAAACACACACACAACAGCAAGGGACTGTTGGGGTTGGTTCTGCAACGTCCTGTAAAGGATACACAACTAAACTAACCTATATATCGAAACAAACTAACGAAGAGAACCAATTGCCCACATCAGAAGGAGACAATCTACACCCGTTGGTCATGCAACGAGAAGGAAAAACATGGAGTACATCGCGAGGGTGGCAGAGTTGGAGGGGGGCAGAGAGAGACCAAGAGAGAAGATGCTGGACGGTGTAACAAGGAAGATCAACTGTGTCACAGTTGACTGAAAGTACACCAGACAGAAGGCCGTGGATAGACATGACTACCCGCACTTCACAGCACGGATTACAAAAAGAAGAATAAAACGAAGCAGCAGGAGAAGAACAACACACTCGAACTTTTCTTTCCATTTTTCGTGAATAAGAAATTGATTAATCATTCCTAAGTTTAAATCAATTAAATCCCTGTTATATTACGGCTCTTTTCGCTAAATATTTGCCAAGCACGACCTAAAACTGGCTAAGGTGAGTCTCCTTACTGGCTTGAAAGACAAATACTCCACAGTTAGCAATGAATATTTGAGTCTGAAAACTGAAAGCGATGACTGATAAAGAAACCAGAAATATTCGATACGGAGCAGATAAAAATGAAGAATAAACAGGTGAAACGAGAAAAACAATAGCGAACAGAGAATTTCCACACAGAAAGAAAGATGAATATCTGTCTGTCTGTCCGATCGTCTGTCTGTCCGTCTGTTTGTCTGTCCGTCCGCCCATCTGTCTATATATTGTCTGTAAAGCGTCGTATGCACGGCTAATGATCGGTTTCCGGGATAGTGCGCGCTTGTTAGCTTGCTTCATGGTGATTTTGTTGAGTTTCATCCAGTTGTTAATTTCATCTATCCATTTTCTTCTTGGTCTTCCTCTGCCACATGATGTTTCCATTCTCATAATTTATGCTCTGGCAACCGGTGATGTTTGGTTCACTATGACCAGGTGGCCGAACTATTTCTGTGTTTGTTGTTGACTAAACCGAATTACATGTGTTGCTCCCACCATTTCATTGATATCTTCCTTTCCTCTGTGGCCCCTTCTTGTTTTGCTGACTGCTGTTCTCCCACTTCTTGTTTCACGCGTATTCAGTTTCCGTTCTTGTTCTTTTGTTAGTGCCTAAAGATGAATATTCATAAGTATACCTACAATGGCCACTGACATACAGGCCAAGTTGGAGTCTACAGAGAGGCCGACTACGTAAAGAATGAACACTGAGGGAAGAAGAAAGTATCGGAAAAACCCCCACACATGAAGCGCACAAACGGACAGCCAGCCATTCACGCTGTCTATATTTCACCTCGGCATAACAGGAACGACAAAAGAACCACGGAAGACAGAATAAAACAAACAAGCGTTTGGGAATAAACGGCTGTGCGAACGATCACTGAAGAAATTTGTTAAAATAAAATGAGATGAGGTCAATAAAGGTGAAAAATAAGAGAAATACGTGTACAGCCGCTTTTATAAACAGTTATACGACTAAGTTGAAAAAAAAAAAAGTCAGTTGTGTATCCTTTACAGGATATTGCAGAACCAACCCTAGCATATTGGCCGTTGTGGTTTTTCTAGGCAAAATTACGTCTAATAGTTTGCCATTGCTCACTGGACGGTCGGCTTCTTGAAACTGCTGTAGAAACCAACGCAAGGCGCAAGGCCCGCAGCTGGGATCGAACTCGGCACCCGGCATTACGAAGCTTGTTCGCAACGCCTAACCCACATAAGCCGACACAATGATAGGACAAAGAACATTGCAATATATTGCACACACCATGAGCCGGCCTGCCAATGCTTGGGTTCTCACCCAAGATCTTGGGTTTGGGCAAAAAACAAATCAGTCGCCGTGATCAAGATCAAGAAGGAGGAACAGTTCGCCGAACAGGTAAGAACGATGGACTCTTATGTGCGAGACCAAAGTTCGAATCACCAGTAAGTTCATGAACATCCAAACCTGCACAGAAAAGTTATGTCATTTAAAAAAAAAAAAGTATGAAAGATCAGTGTTTGGAAGACTGGTCTGCGCGTCCAATTTGTAAATATCTTTTAGAAAAAAGTTCTATCGTATCGTCCGCGGCGACAATCCTAGCCATGTGGCCCTAAGTCCCCAGAATCAAAGACAACCCTCCCCCCCCCCCACCCACCTCCCCTCTTGATTACACAGCAAAAGTCTTCTTTTTCTGTCTTTCTTGCCCTAAATGGAGCATGGGCCCTCAACCAACTCACGCCAAGTCATTCTATCTTTTGCTCTTGCATGCAGTTCTCTCCATGTCCTTCCATCTTTCTAACTTCATTATACAGCTCCCTTCGTGTGTTTTTTGGCCTTCCTTTATTCATATGAACCCTGAGGGTTCCAGTGCAAAGACATTCTAGTTATATTGCTCTTCAGTTTTCTCAATGTGTGTCAAACACCAGCGTCTTTTTTTCACCTCTTGGTCCACTTGAACTTGTTTCATTCTCTCCCAAAGTCATACATTAGTGATTCTAGCATACCCTTTAATTCCCTCTATTCTGCACAGGCACAAGATAATGAATGTCTGTAGTTTATTAGTAAAATACACACAGTAGCTGTCAGTTTTGCAGCCCTGATAAAGAAAGATCCACTGAAATAAACAAACGGACTGAGAACACGAGGACGCGCAGGAGAAACCCTAAGCCGAACGTTGCTGAGACGCCGAAGGTTGCTGAGACGCCGAACGTTGCTGAGACGCCGAACGTTGCTGAGACGCCGAACGTTGCTGAGACGCCGAACGTTGCTGAGACGCCGAACGTTGCTGAGACGCCGAACGTTGCTGAGACGCCGAACGTTGCTGAGACGCCGAACGTTGCTGAGACGCCGAAGGTTGCTGAGACGCGGAACGTTGCTGAGACGCCGAACGTT